GAGGGATAGGAAATGCTTTTATAGGTTGCGAAAGCCGCGCGAATTGCAAGGACACTCAGGACGCCAGGCAAAGAAAAGCTGAAGTGCGTTGCACATTTGGCTTATCCAGGCTGTTGAATAGCTCCAGATTCTCGATACTGTGCTTGAGATGCCCCCACCTCCATGCGTGTTGCAGCAACACAAAAGGCATACTCGGCAGTCCTCACGAAGTACAAAAAGCTCTGTAGTAGAGCTGCTGAATGTGGAGTCGAGGAAAGATGCAGCCTGTTGGTGGCAGGAAGCACTGCACCAGCCGTGGCTCGTACCTTTTTGCGAAGCTCATTGTGCTTTCCGCTATTGTTACTTCGGGTAAACGCCGACATTGAATCACTCCGTGCGCTCAATCTGTGTAAGGATACATATTTGGTTTGGGTATTTCTCAATAGTCATGGCTGTGAGAACGAGCTTGAGATACTTATTTTGCTGGCCATGCTGCGGAACAGATACATTCAAGGCAAAAATTGCGGCGGCAGTGGCACTGACGCCGCCACAGCACGAAGTAGCAGCTATCTTCTGTGATCACCAGTGTCTCAACAAGCGACGAGGGAAGCCAGAAAGACTCGTCAGAAGACTACGACTGCGGCTCCACAATATTGTGCTTGACTTCAGCGACAGGAGCAGGCTTTCTCCTTGCTTTCTCGGAAGCCAGCATCCTGCCGTTAACTAATGCGACGCTAACCAGGAGGCCATGACGGGCTAAAGCAGACTTGCCTCACTCCGCTCAATTGGAACGCCATCAATAAAAGGACGTCTGGGTTGCAGCGACATCTAGGCCTTCGCCACGCATGGTAGCCTCACATCACGCTAAGGAACTGATAAATCGTCCCACGAGAGCCTTAACCATATCAGGCTTGAACAAGCTTCTTACTAGTCTCGAAGTACGTGTGAGCAGTATCTAAATTTCTTCAACGCTATCCCATTCGCTCAGACTGACACAACGACTTATTAATGGTGGTTTTGGTTCGCAGCTTGTGGAGGGAAATAAATGCTCACTCTTGACGCATCAGTGGTTCTGTCATACGGCCCTGGCCCACTACCCAGGACTCCGTTGCGTTGCGCATGACTTGTTTCTCACGACTAGTTTAAGAGGGCTTGATGCATCCCCCACCGCCTGCTATTACGCTTCTGCGGGAAGGGTGCCTGGTCATCGTCAGAGTGCGGGCTCTATGGGTTGCACACATTCAAGATGAGTTTTCCGCGATTCAAGCTCGTCAGCGACATATCAAACTGCATCACAACCGTTCCATGCCCTGTCTACCTAGCGTGTAGCGCGAACAGGTGCATTAGTGGCTTGGTCGGCACCGTCTGCTACTCGCACCAATCATACCACTGGACCATACTTTTCGCTCCTAATGGGATGCCGTATTGGAAGTTGCTTTCTCTACCATCCCATGCACTAGGGGGGATTTATGTGTTGCCTTTAGCATTTACGGTTGACGTCGGCCAGATGTATCCCTTAAGGAGTTGGTGGGAATGAAAACTAGTTTATTGAAGTGGCTTGACGTTGCTATTTGGGAAATTGGAGATGCCACTGCCCGGATTATTGGTATCGGCTCGCACGACAGACTTGCCAATACCAGCATACGAGCAGACACTGCACTCCGGCAGCTTTGTAGGCTGGTGCGAAGTGACGCAACGGTGTACGGTTGAAGGTAAATCCCTAAACGCATTTGACTGTAAGGCGTCTAGGGGGCATTTGGTAGGTTTGGGGTACTGAAATGATTCGCGACTTTTGGGCAGTGCTGCTTTGCGTGCGCAGGACTCGAGCAACGGGGACGCGGAAGCTATTTTGTGTAGCTGCTTGACCACAGTGGCAGGTGCATATTGAGTGGAGAGCAGCAACACGTCATCATTGCTCGTTCACGGCGGTTCAGCTGTACAGACAGCGGCCGCCCAGATGCACCCCCCAATAGAGCCCTTGCCGGGAGTATCCACAGAATACACACTTTGCAGTAAAGCGGAACAAATTCTGAGAGAGTGCACAAGCTCACTTAGTTCCGCGCATGGCGAACATCCAGCCCCGAAGCGTAAAAGGCATGCAGATGCATCTGTGACAAAGGAGAAAAGCACACTCCTTTTTAGCAAAGCTCCCTCGATATGGAAAGTGGGCTTGGTATCAGTTCAGTAGCGCTCACCAAGCAACACAATCACAACTCCACAAAATGGGCCCCTCCGCTTTCCACCCAACACACGCCCAACCATACAGCAGCATGCAGTCAACACACACTGCTAATTTCCTCTCCCGATGCTGCGACCTCGAATACATGCCCACTCGAAGCGGCACACACTGCTTAAAAACCAACATACCAAACCTCAGCACCCAACATACGCACAACTGCTTCCACGCACAATTGCAAACAACCTATGCAGCTCGGCTTCCAGTTGCCCCCTTGGGCCTGCAGGTGGGTGTGTATGTGTGCGTGTGTCGGGACTTGACGGGGTCGTTGAATTGTTTGCTGCATGTTAGTACTCTTTGTCTATAGAACTTAGGTGCAGGCACACAACAGCTCAACAGAGCACTTTTATTTTCCAGAAATACTGGGTGGCAGCCGCTCACAGGCCCATAAGCTCTTTGAGCAGGTAAGTCCCAGCGGCTGTGGCAGGCCATTACAGCAAGGCTTCGATGGCAGCAAGTCGGATGTAATGTGCTATATGGGAGGGCTGGAGAGCGTTTTTACCTCCCTGACTCTGTCCACTGCTGTCACTGAAGCTTCAAGACAAGCCTGCCTATGCTGAGCAATGGCATTTCCTGTGGTCACTGCGTTGCAGTACGAAGCCTCAGCGAGTAAAGTATTTAACCCTGGGCAGCAGCGTACCTATCGCGCTTCTCCTATTCGCCTTTTGGTAGCGAACACGGGTAGTAAACTAGAGGGCGCCTTTTGTCCCTTCGGAACTGGGTCATCACTAACGGCCGTAGCCCAAAGATGCTCGGTTATCCCCATCCATTTTGCTTGTTCCAGGTGTCTTTGAAAGAGGAAATACTAGTCATCTGTCAGCGTACCTGGCGCTTCTGTGCAGGTAAGAAGCTTTAATGCATACGCTTTTGGTGTCAAGAAAAAAACACTTTACCCTGCGTATCACGCAGAGCAACATTCATATTTCTGATCATGAGCGATACTTCGGTGCCGGGGAAATTATTATTCTCTCTACGCGATGATGCTCAGTTTGCCGTTCTCACTAATATTTCTTTCCACATCTCTGCCTGCGTCCAGATCAAAGATAAAGCAGGATCTCTTTCGCTGTCCTGTATGCAGTTTGTCTCAACTTACAGGTAGGAAAAACGAGGGAGTATGTCGTGAAATGCAGGGGCGAAGTTTCAGCGGGCAAAGCTGCATTCAGCTACGCCCCACTATACTGGTGATATTTGATTATGAGTCGACATGGAACTGACCGTCTTCTCTGGCTATTCGAATGCTAATTATTCCCTAGTGGAGTTATCTCCACGCAGCATGCGTCACCGCTTTGTGCATCTCCGCTTTTTTTATGCGCAACTAGGCATGAAGCCTCACAATTTTTGCAGCATGCAGCGATATGCACCATATCGGTGCAAGGAGGAAGCTCTTCTTAGGGGATTGTACCGCTGTACTATATTTGACACTAGGTCTGATACTGTGCATGCCCCTGGAAAGATTATAGCCGGACCGCCATGTGGCACATTAAAAACAAAAATAATAACGCCGCACCCTTCTCCAGATATTAAGTGCACCTCAATTACTATGCCTGCAGTGGTGCAGCCCATCAATGTCTAAATAAAGAACAGCCAACACCGAGAAAGGCCTCCAGTAGCTCAAAGGGCGCTCCTCTTGTTACCAGAGATTGGTGGTGGGTCAAACACTGCTTAAAGCCAGGTGAGTCGTCAAGCGGACTACACTGCTTACCGAAAATACCCCAATTGCCTGAACTCTTACTGCCGCCAATGCAACTGTCACTGGCCTTCGAAGGAACTCTAACCGCATTATGCGCCTGTCGAAAGCACTACTGGCATTTGGATTTTAGAATTGCCCCAGCGAGTACATGGGGCTCCATCTAAGGCTTCCGTAGAGGAAGTTAACCGCACGCAACGCAGGCTTACTAGAGAATTATTCAGTTCTAATATGCCTCTCTCCCCGGCGCGCGCCCTTTAGACCTTCAACGATGCAAGGAGAGGCTAGGGTGCGTATGGGTGCATCCTCTCATCACCTGCTGCGTTCACACCTAGTTACACAGCACCTAACACAAACGCACGCAACACTGCTCCTTTCTGTATGGAGCTAACTTACCCTGCAAGCATTTAGATGAGCGAGCAGGCAAACCATTTGCCTAATTCTGGACGATTCTTTGTTATAAATAGGTGGTGTAGCGGAAGATAGAGCTTAACCCACTGCAGCGTATCAAGGCCGAGGGCAGGACATGTGATAAAGGCTCAGCAAGCATCATTGAAGCCACCCGAGAGAAACTAGGAGACGGGACAGAGCCAACGTGCAATCTCGCACTGCGGGTATCAACTGCGCGACTCTTTCTCCTCCAGCATCTCGCTGCTACCGCCAGACGTCACTACTGCGTGGCTACTTATTAAGCTACTGCTCTGTTGCAACATTCTTAGTCTATATCAGCGAGCACGTCAAGATCGTGCTGCTGCTGAAGCAAAAAGAAACGGGTTTGGGCGGCATGCTTATCTGTCTGTACGTGATGCGAAGAAGGGTAATCCGCAGATCGCATCTCGAACTGTTAGTAGCCTCTCCAAACAGTGCAAAATACATGCATATGCGCATATTAATAGAAATAAACCTACACATGCATATACGTGCTGCCAGAGCGCGAAGAGGTACATTCACTCATTCATTGTTGTGAATAGACTCAAGCATGCATATACGTGATAGGAGTGTGTAGATTGGGGCCAGCTCAAGATTGTCTGTCTCTCCTCCGTTGCCATTCGCGGTGTATATGAACTTCGCCGTCTCCATACTTCGGGTCCAGTCAGCTCATTCCTTGTACCATTTTTTTGCATGCGCCGCGTACGTTTCAGGGCTCACAGCCTCAACAACAATAGGCATGAAGCCGTGGAGGGCCCCACACAATTCACTACACTGCCCGTAGAAGACTCCTTCCCTCTGGATAAAAGTGTTTACCTTCTGTAGCCGCCCTGGTATGGCGTCTGCTTTAATCCCTAGAGCAGGGACGGCCCACGAGTGAATGACATCCGTTGCAGTCACAAGGAAGCGGATGTGCGTGCGCGTCGGCAGCGTAAGCCGCCTGTCCACCTCCAGATTGCGCAGCATTCCTGGGGCGAGGTCCTCATCAGACACCATGTTGCTTTGAAAGGAGTAATACGTTGGAATCAAGTCTGGGTTCTTCAAGTACTTCTCGGGTGTCGGGTAATCCGAGGCGGACACATTCTGCAGGGGTGTATCCTGCCCAGAAGGCCTTGATGGAGAAGCAGAAGGGACAGGACCAGTGATGCTCCTACACAAGGCAGGGGCCGCGCCGGAGCGAAAGGCCACCCCAGAAGGCTTCATAGCCTCGCGAGAGAAACCAAACCAAGATCGCATGTAATCTAACATCTTCCCCAGCTTAATACGACGGGTATCACTTGATGAAATGTATTTCTGAGGAGTTCCAAACAAGTTATTGCACCTGGGTACAAACTGCTGCTTCTATTGATGTTGGTGCTGCTGCTATTTGTGCTGCAGCCCCAATATGTGCTGAATGAACAACAAACTCACCAAACACTTTTACGAACAGTGGTTTTGTAAGAACGGTGGGCGAATGTTTCCCACCCTGCTTGCCGAGCTGCTCTCCAGCCCCATGGCCGCAGGCCCTTTTCCTGCTGCTTTTGCAGATGCAACCATCCAGGGCTCGTTGTAACAACCATTGAGTGTGGTTTCTTCCAGATGAGCACATCCCTCAGTTTACATCCAAGGAAATTATGTGTTCCATAAGCGCCCACTGGAGCAGCAGCATTATACCAACAGCAGACGCAGCTTGCATAAGTAACACATAGGAACGATGTACGCAATTTTTCACTCATACTGCCCTGTTCATAGTAGCGTGGTAGCAACAACAACGGAATGGTAGTAGGCAACTGACTTGTGTGGGTGGAGTGTTTATCTGATATCTACCACAGCAGCATCAACAACGCCAGCAGCAACTGTGGTAGCAGCTCCTGCTGCTACTAGGGCTCGGAGAATGGTTGACTACAGTAAATGGGACAAAGTATGGGTTAGCAGCAGCGAAGATGAGACACCTGGCGCGTCGTGTGCTTCTAGAAAGCATGTGCTTCCCGCCACCAGCAGTAGTCATAGGAATAGCTGCAGCAGCAACTTCAGTAGCGGCGGGTTTGATTACAGCAAGTGGGACCATTTGGTGGACGAAGAACAGGAGAGTTTTTCTTCCCCTCGTGTCCGTCGTCTGTCCAAGGGTCAGGCGGTAACCATTGGGCGCGAAGGACTCTACATACACCCCAAAGGAGCAGCAGCAGAGGCCGCGATGCAGCAGACGCAGCTTAAGGAATGGATGGAAGAAGAGCAACAGGAGGAAATGCAGCAGACAGGCATGTCTTTTGAGGATGCTCATGAGTGGCCCCGCTGCGGTTCCGTGCAGGCAGCTGAGCTACCTGCAGCAAGCACAGCAGCAGGCCAACCAGCGGGTCTGGCAAGGGGTACCGGCCGGACTGAGATGCAGCAACTGGTGAGAAACGGAGGGGTGCAAGAAGGTCGGTACTTCTGGAGACAAACAGCTAGGGAAGTAACGATATCTCTGGCTCTACCGGCTGGCGTCAGGGGTAGAGACCTCCGTGTGAAACTAAGAGAGCATGCGCTGCGCATCTCGTGCACTAACCAGGCAAACTCTTCTGCAACAGGAACCAGAACCAGTAGCGGAGGTAGCGAGAAGGTGTTGCTAGAAGGAAGATTTCCACACCCCATAGAGGAAGATGACGATTGCTGGCTCTGGGAGGTGACTGAGAGGCGCATCGATTGGCAACAGCTCCAGCAAGCTGCCACACAGCAAAATCACGAACCGAAAGAAGCTATGAGTTTTGAAGGCAGCAGCGGCGGTGGCGTATTCGTCGAGCCGAAGCAGACTTCACTACCCACAGCTTTCTTCTTGGATCTACACCTGCGAAAGAAAGCAGTCCTACCCTTAGCTAACGTTTGGTGGACCTGCATTTTGAAGGTAACTTCACCCCTGTTTCTGGCGTAGCCGCTGCTCGCTTGCTTCTGCAGATCCATATTGCTGCTCGGGCAACTGCGGGCGTGGTTGTTGAGGCTGCGATCATAGCGGCTTCAGGTGTCGGCGCTTTTCATATACTCGTCCATATTGTGTCAGCCAACCGTAGCTGTTGTTGCATGTTGTTGCTGCTGGCGTGCAGGGTGAGGCACAAATAGACGTGACTCAGTTGACGGATCGCAGACACAGCGAAAAAACGCAAAACTTCAAGTCCGCATGGGAGGCAGCGCACGCTGCTTTCAAGAAGATTAAGCATCACGACACCAGCAACTTGGCTTGCATTTTAACTACTGCTGATGCGGCCGCCGCTGCGTCGGCTACAAGTGATGCGGCCGCCGCTGCGCAAACCAGTGGCACCAGCAAGTAGAGGCAACAAGAGCGAGGACGCACAGCAGGTCGACGCCGCCATCCAGGTCATGTCAGTATAATATGTCGCTGAAAAAGCAACGCATTTGTAAAGCCTCTTCTGAACGGCTTGCCTGCTGCTGCAGGCTCATCCGCCTCTGCAGGCGAATCAGCGGTCACTGCAAAACTTCACATTGCTGCAGAGCGCCTTAGGGGCTTTTAAAAGGAGCACGAATCAGGGCCTCCGCAGCTCTGCAGCATGGTTAGGAGGCCGCTATTTACATGCAGCCGCCTCTGAAACCATTCGTATAGTAAAGCCCATGAGTTGTCCCGTAGCAAAAGCAATCGTAGTGAGCTACATCTATCTCGCCATATTAGCAGTAGCAGAACTTTCCCCTCATTGCCACTCTTAGATTTTTAAAAAAGGCACCACTACTTGCTGCTACAGCTACAGCACCGCCCCTACGTGCTTTGATGCTATGTTACGGATGCCACTCTAGGAGCGTGCACTACACAACGTATAACCAGCCGAGATGAAGCAGAGACGCGGGACACGATATAAACAATATCTTTTTTGAGAAAAGCCAAAGTGCCAGGCATAATGCCAAAAACACTCGCAGTATGGGTGTCCTGCCAGATTTTCCGCTGCTGGAGAAATGGCCCACGCAGCTAGACCTGAGAGGCAACAGCGCCCGAAGCGGCGAACAGTGGCTACACGGCTGGGAGCGGCTTATCGTGAAATCGAGTACGATCATCACCTCAGTAAATGGGCTCGTAGACGTTCGTGTACGAGTAGCTGCGGCGGCAGCACAAACGGCAACAGCAAAGACCTCACGCCTGTACGAAAGACAACCAGGGGCCGGGGACCAAGAAGTGTTGGACAGGGATAAGAGTGAAGGTATAGGGCTTGGATTAAAAGGTGGGGGTTTGGGCTGGGGGATTGCCTGGAGAATAGGACGAAGAGGAAACGGAACCAAACAAACTGAGAGCGATGAGCCCGCATTCCCCTACACGCAGGACAGCAGACTCCACGGCTTGTGCTGCTCGATCTGCCGAGTGCTCCGGAACCTATGGACACGGGCTGCAAAACAGGCTCCTGTGCAGGCAACAATGAGGGCAACAGAAGGTGGAGTAGAAGTGCGATGTGGCGTACTTGAAGGCGGCCAGGGGGGTGAGGCACGTAGCTACGTCTCTGAGCACAGCAACACATTAAAGCTGTCCTCAATCACCAATTAATAATCTGCATGCAGCGGCAGGTAGCTTTAGAAACATCAGAGGCAGAAGAAGCAACGAACACGGCAGCTACAACAAATAAAACACGGGAGAAAGAAAACAGCTCGTACCAGCATGACCACACTAGCAACAACGACTGTCACAGCAGCGGCAATAACGTACACGCCCTGGTGGTTAGCCGCGACTGTGGCTGGTATAATGCTGAGTATGCCGCAGTACTTGCGAAGTAGCGTGTGGCTTTGCAATGCGAAGAGAAATACAGGAGGCAAAGGCCTCAGCTGCTCGCGCTCGTGCCGCAGCTCCTTCTCATTCTTGGTCTTTTTCTTGTCTGTATGAGGCAGCTCATGTTGGGGCATGCTGTTGACGAGTTCTTGACTGAAGAGCCTAACGTCCAACAATAAAAGCTAATCCTCCAACATTGCAGTTGCGGTAGCGGTTGCTCGTGTTGATAGCGGATGCACGAGCTGAAGCATGGGGACACTAGGAAAGGGGGAGAGTAGGTTAAAAGACACCCTCACTTTGAGAAGAACTGCCGAAATGCAAACTGACCTAAGGCCCTGGTGAACGCTGATGTGGTTGGGGTGGCTCGACACGCCATCACGGTCAAAGGAAAAGATCTAAAGTCGAAAAGTGCACAGACAGCGGCAATATGCGGAACAACTCTCTAGCAGTGCCTCTTCAGTACAGTCGACATAAAAAGCAAAGGAGCAGTTTTCAAACACAGGGACACAAAACAATCAATACACTCTAGCAACAAAATTAGATGCACACACTGGTGCAAAAATAAGCATGAGAATAAACGAGACAGTAGCCCTCAGCAAATTCCCGAAAATTTGGATCTTACAACTTGTATGTTTCTATTTTTGCATATGAATTTCTTGACCTCTTGGCACACGGCCTCCGGTGGCCAGGGTGACCAGCTATCCTTTAGTGTCTCTGTATCCAAGCAAACAAAATTGTTCCTTGGGACACCAAAGAAGTCTGCTGCTGCATGCAATTCTAGCGAACGCACAGCGCCCAAACCGGCAGAGCCGCCTGCAGAACACAGTAGCAAAAAGCACAGCATGTACACAAACCAACTGCAGTGGCAATCGCAGCTACAAGCAAGCAAAGCAACAACATAGTGGGGCAACAGTTTTTACACACCAGCCATAGCAAAGTGCAACGATGAGGTTATCTATACAAAGAGCACAAGCACGCAACACTGACCCCAGTGAAACAAAAACTCGTTTAAGCCCAAACACTAGCAGAAACAGCACTGGTTACCAGCGTGCACGGAACCTCCACCTGCGTACGCGATCAAGCTTACCGTTTGAGAGGCACAGAACGAAAACTTCGAATGCTTCCTTATTGGCGGCAAAGAGAGAAAGTGTTGGGGAAAAGAACATGGACTCGTCGTCGGGATGGGCAGTCACAAAGAGCACACCAACCTTGCTGCCCTCAGACTCGCAGGGGCAGCACTCTTCACTTTGGCCTTGTGGCTTTTGCTTTTGCTCTGCAACAAGCTGCTGTGACTCAGGTTGGTTATGCTGTTGAGGGTCCTTGTACTGGCGTTTGTACAGCCCCTGCTGCTGCATACGCTGCTTCCTGACAAGGGCTAAGACAAAGCGCTCAAGTCTACAGTTGTGAACCAAGTGAGAGTTGTACAGAATGCTTCCGAGACACCCAAAGAAGAAGCATAGGAAGCAAAACACCAACGATAGGTTGCTGCTAGCAGCGTGCAACAAGGCAGCCTGAAGTACCACACGGCCTTCTTGAAAATATAAATGAGGCACACAGTAGAACAGAGCTGCAGATAAGACAGCCACTACAAAGACAAGAGTCATGCCATAGTTGCCCCAACTGCCACTGATGCTGTTTTTCTTCTTGTTCTGGTTGCTGGATCTGACAGAAGCCGGCGTAGTGGTCTTGCCTTTAGATAAAGCGGCACCGGGATCAGCAGAAGAGACTACCAAGTTACTCGTAAGACCTACATGCTCCATCCTTATTGGCAGCAGAAGCGAATATTCTGCTGCTCTTTTGCCCGTTGCTGTGCTTTGCTAGAAGTTCTCTTCCTACGCTTTAGTCGGATGCAATATTTGCTGCATTTACTAGGCCTTACACGGGAAAAGAACACAGAAAAGGTGGAAGGGAGAACAATCTTCTCCATAAAAGACACAACCGGGGGAAGGAAATTGAGGAAACCTCTGTGGACGACGCCTAGAGCACTGATCCTGCATGCAATGATAACAGCAGCAACAGAAGCCTTGGCTGCCACCTTTTCCGCGTAGATATACTCGTAGTTTTGGCACAAAATAAGCATTGTAGCTTTGTTGGATGTTAGCGATGTTGCCACTTTCCTTATTCATGACAGCTTCAGTAGATCCCGCGACTCCTGGTTCTACTGTTTGTGCCGTTTCTTTTGCTTCCGCAGACGCTGCATGCGCTAGGACTCATGTAGGTTCATCGTTACATTTACCAACCATCCTACTCTCACGACCAATTATTAAACTGCTGACTCAAGCTTCAGAGCATTAGAGGCTAAAGAAAGAACACGCACAGCGTGAATAGCATAAGCTGTGGTGCTGCTTCAACAGACTTGTGCCAGCCAGCGCAGTTTTGCTAAATAAACCCTTCTAGAGCACTATGCTAGCTACTGATCTAATTACACGCTTGTATTGCACACTTTTGGAAGCTTGCCTTCCGTAGAGGGCTGAATTTGTCGGATACTGTCTACTGCACCAGTCGATCTTATTCATAAATAGGGAGGAATTGACCATTTGATTTGGCTGTGTGTACGCCTTTTTCTTGCAGAGTTGCGGCAGATGAATTCAACATGTGTCAATGTTGCGTCAGTAGATGCAATGTGCATGCAAGTGTGAGTGCTCAATATGCTTGAACAGTCCGGCGACGCGCTCACTAGCTCTCTCTATCCCTTGCGTCCGAACCCCGGTGAGCTGGGGCAGACAAAGAGGGAGCTCTTTCTAAGATATGCGGGTTTGTGTAAGGCCTTCGTTTGAACTCAATTTGCTCCAGACTCAATGCAAACTTCACACAAAATACTTGAGTACCGTTTAAAAGAGGATTGCCTTGGCGTACATGCGTATCTTAGGTTTCCACTAAAGTGAAAGAATTTGAATTAGGGCGTGAGTTGATGCATGCCCCAAGCGTTCCGAACATTCACATCAAGATGCACGTAGGGCAAGTCAAATGGTCAGTTCAGACCTAATTCTGTCTCAAATATAGCTAACGTACCTTAAATAGTTCATGTGTACCTTCAGCCGCTACATCATTCCCCTTGAAGTTCGCACACCCTTGAACCCTCTAAGTGGAGACTAACTGCCTGCAGAGCCCCCTCCAACGCCACTCCCCACGCAGGCAGAAACGCGAAAAACTCTGCGAATGGGAAACATAGGGTGAAAACAAGCCGGTGGAGAGAGCTTGAGGGAAAGAAAGACGCACGCTTTACAACAACGAACGAGAGACCAACCAAATCGATCGAGGCGGCGCTATTTTCCCACTTTTGTTAGAGTGCTGGAATGTATGAGTCCCGCGCAACAAGGAAACAGACGAGTAAAATATGTAGATAGAATAAAATACACGCAATTTTACCAGCGCCTCAATGCCCCATACAACAATAGCCGCATGGCATTTCAGCGGGCGCATTCAGCATATTTGATTTTCAGACCAGGATAGAGACACGCGAAAGAATGTAGAGCAAATTTGACTGCTAATGACTGCGCATGACTCTGAGCGTAGAGCAGACCTCACCATTAATACCGGCGACGCTTCAAGCGTTAATCATAGACAAAGCCATCTATCTAAGACAGAATTTCCGTTGGACGAGAGTAATTACCAAGAAGCGAAGGATAGTGTTGTGTGTAGCATCGCTGACCGACCAGAGTGGCGGATTATCGTGTAAACAGTAAACCTCGAGCCTAGTCCATCGTCTACCATAAAGGGTGGCGCCACTCAAAACTTTCATCTAAAAGCTCCCTTCGACTCTATCCTCTGCTGTCAAAGGACCGATGATCCAACACTTCCCTGTGAATCTCCTACCTCCTCACCAGACAGTTACCCACGAAGCAACGTCCGCAAATTACTTAAAAGTTTTCCAAGCTTCTTTCTGACGTCAATAATGACTCCTCCGCGGTGCCTTCAACTTTTACGAGATCGATAGAATAAGCGAGAACATCGATTTGGCCGAAACTCGCAAAATATCATAGCCACCGAACACACAAGCCTCTTCATCTGGTCACCGTCTAATGCACCTCCTACGGCCTTGCTAACCACCAGAATCAAATCTTCAGCCTCGCAATAAGCAGGGGCGCCGATCAGCATAACTATGTACTTGTCTGTCTTGAGCATTGCGCACGCATTCTCACACACTGGCCATCTGTTCGCTGACTGTGCCCACTGCTATGGAGGGCTGCTGACCCCTCATCACGAGGTCTAGGCACATATCGAAAAGCGGCTTTTCACTGTAGACCAGAAATGCGGTATAGTAACGGCGAGCTGTTGCATCGTAAATCCGCTTAGCACAAAGGGCACTAAGCCAACAACTCGGATCATGTGAGCATAGGGCCACACAAACTGCAGAGGAATGCAACGATTGCATTTTCTGTACCCATCTGCATCGGAGGTATTCACAGTGGTCATCTTTTGGCCGGTGTGTAGCGAGGGCATTAAGGCATGGCAGAACGCACTAACGAACTCTGGATCACTTTCTATAATGATACTTTTGAGGAAACCGCCCGCCAAGCCCACAGATATGCACTATGCATAATTGGACTACTTCCTGAGCCTTGACCATGCTGGAGCATATGATGAAAGCAGCGTTTTTGCTAAGTCTTTTGAAAAAGATGTAAGTGCTATTCTGACCTTTGACTTTCGGCAGTTCAACAAAAGTGTTTACACTCAGATCAGTCCGAGTTTTTAAGGAATCGGCCGGTTTAGCGAGTAGCAGGGTTTGGGAAGTGCCGCGGGTTCAGCCGCTGACCATCTGGGCACGACAGTGCGTACTGGTCTGACGCAAGATACATCTAAGGCCACCAGGAAGACCTTAAGACATTTCCCAGAGTGGTGCGAGTCCAGCCATAGCCCGCAATACCATACTTATGTCCTGTGTGCAAACCGGCGCTCTGCAGCACACCTGGAATGCACACAAGACAAACTCCCGCTCTGTTTCAACGCACAGCAGCCCACCGTCAAGATCACAGTGCTTTATTCTCTTGCCGTCCTAAACTTTTGCAATGGTAGCAGACGCATGGATGTCGAAGGCATAAACTTATGTATTGTTGAAGGAAACTGTAAATCGTTACGGACAAGAGTAATTGTACTGTATGTAGTAAAGCGCTGGGTGATCGTCACAGCGTGTGGATGACCAGATTGGGGATGCGCTTGATATACTTGACTGTGAAGTTGTACTGCGGGCGGCGCTGAGGGTACCGAGATCTAGTGATTGCAGGGTTTCGGAAACCGTTTATAGCATTCCTGTAAACGTCAAGAGTGATCTAAACAGTATTGCAAAGTGGCGGCGAGTGTAAAAACCAACGAACTGGCGGTTTGGAAAGTGTGAAGCTTGTTACAAGAGAATGATACCTACAGCTACGTCAAATGCGCAGGCTGCTAGGACGAATTGGTTTCCACTGTCGGGCAACAGAGAAGTAGTTGCATAATGGCTGATTAGCATCCTTGCTGGGCTATCCGCCTTGTCTGCCCAGGTTGCGAATGCGTTTCTCTCTTGTAGGTCAGTTAAAGCAGGAGCAAGCCGAGAAAGCTTAGAAATTAAAGCAATTATGAAAGTCAGAAGCAACTCTTTCAGCTCTACGTGATGGCAAAAAATAGACGGCCACGCCTGAAGTGCTTCAATTTTGAACAGATTTGGATTAAATCATGAAACCCAAACACGGAATCCCACGATCACTCTGTTGCCATGGAAATAAACCGTTGTGTTTTTCACATTGCACGTCATGTCTGGAAACAGCTGACGCGCCAGGCTCAGCTGCTGTAGGTGCTTTTGAACGTTTCGGCTGAAGTCTTGGCATTGCCCATGTACACAGCCATTCAGCCCTCCTAAGAAGGCTCATAAAGATCCTGATGGACTTGCTACTGAATGAATAAGGCATCAAGTAGTACGTAAGGCATAGACGTATACTGGATTCTGCGACTGGGAGTTTTGAAAAGACATTTTGTGCCTGTCATGTGGTGAATGAAGCATTGCAAGAAAGCAAACGTGAAATCAAATGCGGATTACAGTGTTGAGGGATACAATCTGGGAGGTAGTTTGCCAATATGAGACATCGGGAGAGGGACAGTTATGACGACCGTAGCTGTACCCTCTAAACACTCCTAGGATTCATGGGTGGTTCCACATGGCATTTTATGCATATTCACGGAAAACTTCGTCTGTTTGTAACAACCTAACAGTTCGATGCAAAAAATGCTGTACGAAAAAGCAACCAATTATTCAGATCTCAACCAAATCTCAGCTAAATACAACCCGTTCCGGAGGGCGCCTAGGTCTGCCTTGGCCCCGCCAAACCCTAGGTAATACATTGCCTTAAGCACATCGGCGCGCTGGTTCAAAGAGTCCTTTATAACAAGAATAGAGCTGTCAAGTATACAATACCCTATCATTTCCTGAGTAAATGTGAGTTGTGAAAGGGAATGGGCGTAGATGCTCGTTGTGCCCTAAAAGCCACACTGGGTTGAGCCTGTTAGAGTTATTCGATCTCCTAGTGCAGAAGCAATATTTTGTCCTGCATTGGACATGATATACACACACGCAAGCCAATCGGTCAAGCCGCAACTAAATGTGCACTTTTTGGATGCTGGTACAGTGGTAAATCATATTGGAGCGTTGTTCACTACACAGGCTACTCGAGGCACAAGGTGAAGCAAAAATGGTTTGGAAAGAGTAAGAAGCTGCCTTAAGGAGCGTAAATCTGTATTCAACAAAATATGCTTCAAATGGAACGGAATGCTGCTCTAATTTACGTTAAGGAACACAAACTTGTTGCCAACAGCATAGAGAAGGGGAAGCAGGCCCCACACCGGAAAGTACCGACAGGGGCTGCAGCGCCTGAAGCTACAGCATTGCGGCTTGAAGAGATGGGGAGGGATGCTAGCGGCAATGGGTGGGACACTTGTGTCTGCTACGAGCAGAAATTCGGAAAACGAAAAATGCGGCAGCTGGTTTAGCCGTGGGCTGCTGCATTATCTCCTTCTGATTCTCTGCGCGTTCACTCCCCACACGCCTAACAGCCCCTCTTTCTGGAACTGTCCATTTTCTCCCACTTTTCGGTTAATTTCTGATTGTCTCTTATTGTTCCTACTTACCTTCCAGAAAAATGGGGCGCCGTCCGGCTCGTTGCTACCGCTACTGCAAGAATAAGCCCTACCCCAAATCTCGTTTTTGCAGGGGTGTGCCTGACGCCAAGCTGCGTATTTACGATGTCGGGAAGAAGAAAGCTGACGTTGATGAATTTCCAGCTGTAGTGCATCTCGTCTCGGACGAATTGGAGCAAATATCTTCCGAGGCGCTTGAGGCTGCCCGCGTATGCGCGAACAAGGTATGCCCCAAACCGTGAACTCAGTCTAACCCACTTAGAGATTTTTCTAACTGGCGCTTACATCCGATTCTGGTTGAGATAAATCATAGAAAGGACATTTGCCAGAACTCAGTATCATTCCTGCGTAACTTCAATGCAAACAGTTATGGAAAGCTCTGCGCTCCGTCAGTTCGCATTTGAAGAAGACTGGGCTTTTAGTCAATGTTTCGAATTCCCCGTGCATATGAGTGCTGTTTGTGATGATACCCAGTGGATTCCTATGCTGCGCCCGTATGCTCTGTCTTTTCAGTATATGATCAAGCATTGTGGAAAGGAGAACTTCCACCTGCGGATGCGAGTGCATCCTTTCCACGTTCTGCGTATCAATAAAATGCTTTCTTGCGCTGGTATGCAGTATTTCCGTATAGTCGCAAGAAATCGCATGAACAGCTACTGTGTTGCTTTCCTCGTACTGCCCCTGCCACACGGACGTAGAGCGGTGGCCGCGAATTAACTAGATTCTTGAAATTTATAGCGATTTGTCGCTTTATGCACTGGTTTTGCCTGCTGCTCTATCTTCTTAGGCGCTGATAGGCTCCAGACTGGTATGCGTGGGGCTTTCGGCAAGCCGATGGGTTTGGTCGCACGCGTGAAAATCGGGCAAATTCTCATGTCCATCAGAACTAAGGTAAGGAAGATACTCCCTCAGTCGTTGCCGCGTGCTTCGCGACTTGTTGGCTTACTGCCTGTGGACAGAGTATATCTGTTGGTCTCTGTTTCTGGCTAGCTATGTGCAGCGTGTCTTCCTGTATCTGTACTGCTTGCGGAGCCTTCTTGCAGCTTTTACTTAGACCAAATATGTAGCATTGAGCGGGTTTGGGCGTGGGGGCCTCCAGCGGACAGTGGCCTATACCAAAGCTTTGGATGATCCTGTATCACATTCAGCACTTTTCTCTTTATTTGTTCCTAAATGTAAAGTAAAGGGGTTAAGAAACAGCGAAAGGGGTCAGTTGCTGCGATCTTTCATCTTCGTGTTGATGGTGCTTCAGGATGCCAGTGCAAGCGTGGCGGCTGTTGCTCTGCGTCGCGCGGCATTCAAGTTTCCCGGCCGCAATAAAGTCTTCAACTCTTGCAAGTGGGGCTTCACGCCATTTACTCGCGAAGAATACAAGAAGTGGCAGGCACAGGGCCGCATTGTCTCGGACGGCGTAACCACGAAGTGGCTGGCCAAGAAGGGACCTCTCTCGAAAACCTTCCCCCTCGCTAAGAATATTCAACTGCCCGTCGAAAACTAAGCATGGCAAGCAACAAAGATGGTGTATAGAAAGGCGGCTAACAACTACGATATCGACTACCGCCTTGTTTGCTGTTGCAGATTGATCCTTACAGCAGAGATGTGTGTTTCGTCAAGTTCATGCTTAGAGCGGAAACTTGGGGGTCTCGAGCGCTTATTTTACTAGAGAACATGCTTAAAAGGTGCCCGTTGAGTGGTCCTATATGTTGAACTATGGTCAACACACGGGGTCAGTACTTGTAACGTATGAATTGTTGCCTGTCCCAACATAAAGATAGATGCTTAGGGACAGATAAGCCCCTGTGTGACCTCGGCTAACGGTGTATCACGTAAGGGCATCTTCAGGAGGCTGGGCGCAAGTGAAACAACGAAAAAGCAGATTCCCGCAGTCGACGACAAACGGGGAGGTGAGGGGGCGTATGATAGGCAGACACATGTAGCCCCGCGTCAATTTCAGGTGCAAATCTTGCTCCACAATGAGCAAATAAGGGTAATGCTGAAGGGTAACGTTGTGGTGGTCGAGCTGTGCTCAGCGCCTTCTCCACAGCCGCGAGCTGCTCTTCTGGCGTGGAAATTGCACCCTGGAGGAAGCGTTGGCCGCGCAGATGCGAGCGCAAGTGTCTACGTAGGAGCAGCTAAATGAAAATCTGCAGAGACCTGACATCGCTACACTTGCGTTCTTCTCTCCCAGAGCTCAGCCGCAACCGTGTTTAAGCGGCTGCTCCGCCGTGTTGGGCTTGCGAGGAGTTAGGGAGCAGCTTGTGTGTCATCGCCGTTAATAGGTTTAAGAAATGGGCATCCCACGTTTGTATAGTAATTCAGAGCACCCATTTCGAATAGACCTGTAGAAGTACCAGAGAAAGGTCCAGAGTCGGTACGCAGGGGTCACGACACGCCAAAAGCCTGTGCAGATCTAGACTGAATGGTAAATAAATGCACTTGCTGGGGAAGTCTTGCCTGCTTTCCCGTGTTATCCCTACAAAAAGTCTTAAAGCTTCTCCATATGCGGGCAAAGGTGCGACTTTTATTAATCTCCCAGGGCTCCGACACATGGCCTCTCATCTGCAGCCGTGCCGAGTCAACGCTTGCTAACATTGTATTATGGGTTGTCGTTGCAAATCTATCTTGTTTCATTCTCGCAGTTTGCTTGTATTTTTGTAAGCGGCCTATAAAAAACGGCTTAGGTTTGAGTAAAGAAAGGGCTCACGCCGTGGGCTCTAGAGAACCTGTGCTGAGGACCAGCTATCGAGAGATAGGCCTCTGCGGCACATTCTATCCTGAATATATACCCCAAGCCCGCATCCCTAATCCTACCAAGCTCTTTCCTGCTAAGGCCTTCGCTCTCAACGCAGCAGCCAGCACATGGGACAATGAGAAGCAAGTGGGTCCTCTTCAAGAGGAATCACCAGGAAGGAGCATACGGAGAAATCGAGACGAAAGCAGACATTAATGCAAATTTCCCCTCTCTTACCGGCTATTTTTAAAGCTTGTCGATGATTAACAAGACACTCTTGACGGTTTTTCTTGTTGGGGGTGCTAGAACAGGCTTCCTATGCTCCTTGCAGTGGAGTGGACCGCTTAGTATACACAGTTCCAACGCAAGCACTGCCTAAATTATTTAGTGTATTAGCATGCGACTCATTGCCTATGGTTTTGTATTGCAGACTAGGGATTCTGGAGAGGCTGATTGGCGATGGGGAAGACGAGGGGCGCACAGTCGTAACCGCAGGCTGCACACAGGCCCGAGAGGCATTTCCGCACGCTACTGGCACTGCAGCTGTTGCAGCTGGTATATCTTAATCCACAAGGGGCAAGCCCCAAATCCCAAAGCATATGCGCACGCCCTAGTCTCAAAGTGCCAAGGCCACTTCCTAATGCAGTGTTTCGAGACGTGTGCCAACAGTTTTATATCTTAGACGCATTCAGAACAACCAACAGTTGATAGGTAGCAAGTGTACAGACATATGACTGCCAGCTCTACTTTTGATCTAGCTCGTGCTCTCAGGAATTGATGTTTTGGGGTTGTATATTTCCGGCGTACGAAGTTGTGGCCAGGGGATAGATTTATTGTTGTTGGTGCTGGTGTTCTGGTTTTACGTCTAAGAAATTTCGCAACGCCCCAACAAAATGTTTGTGGTGTCTGGTCAGCCAACGTGGACTGGCCCTTGACCCACTGGATTGCTTTGGAACTTGCTGAACGCAAAGCGCTTTCCCAGTCGGGTACGATGCGCACTGTGCGTGCGACACAGCGGAGCGTTTTGCTGAAGTCTGGGTATACCAACATAGAGCACTTCAAAGCTTTTCCTATACATTAACGATGCTAGGAACCCAGGCGTTCGTGTCTCTAGGGCCGTCCCCTTCAAAGCTGTCTGCCTTTTGTACACCCTAATCAACCCAAAAGCCATTTTATACCCTGCTTGCTGTTCCCGATCGGGCGTTGCTGGATCGCAGGAAAACGTTTCTCTCCGCTTATCCTGGGCATTTCGGGGCCTCAGGGATGCGGCAAGACGACTCTATGCGCGGCTCTTATTGTGGGGCGTCTAACTATGCCTTTGCCGCTCAAAGTAGAGCAATAGCAGTACCAAGCATATTAGAATTCACAAGGACTGCTGGTTCCATCTCGTTGTTTGTGTCTTACCCCTTTTACCTTCCTTGCCTATATTCCACGGTTTGAGTGTACTTGGATTCGCTTCTAGGATTGTGTACTTGCAGGCGGGGCTGAAGGTATTGAACATCAAAGCTGAGGCCGCCTCAATGGACGACTTCTACTTGCCAACCATGCTGCTTCCTCCTATTACCTTTAACGATTTCTCGAGTCCTCGCCCAAGGATCCTCCCCCGTAGGGGACCCCCAGGCACTCACGATTTGCCCCTTTGTCTCAGTGTCTTGCAGCGCATTAAGCGTGGAGAAACGTAAGCAAGGTGGAGCAAATCCCTATTCTTTGAGCAGTTTGTGCTGGCTTAGCGTACTGGGATTGCTACCATTGCCTAGCTTTACAGAAATGGGTTCTTGGAGTGACCTACAAAGTTCGCCATTTGGCATTTTACTACCCTGAAGCAGTTTGCTTTGTACCGTGTGGCCACGGCTGCGCTGCGGGCATCTTGGTGTCACCTTAGGAGATAGGTCATAGGGTCTGTGGCTAGAAAGCAAATGTTTTTACAGAGCGGTAAACCTGCCGAGATATGATAAGAGCAAAAGGGGAGGAGCAGGGGATCGAGATACTAAAGGAATCATCCTTGATGCCAGCGGTATCGAAGTCTTCATTTTGGAAGGATGGATGCTTGGTTAGTCTTCCCGGTGCTTCAAGCACCCCTGCTTTGGTTGCAGGTGGATGAGCGTGATCGCAGCGTTGGGAACACTTGCCGATACCATACTTTAAAGAAGACCCAAGGACCGTTCGGTGCACGTGCATGCGCTGCCTCTTTATTATCTCCAGAATGTATTACAAGCAGACTCTGGATTAGTGCATCCACCGAGATACAGCTATATAAAAATGCTGCGGTTTTTGCTAGCGCGCATTTGCGGCTTGCTAGTAGGCTGTGTGAATGGGCTGTTCCGTGATGTGCGGCTTTAGGGTTTCGCCACGTCGAGCCAGCAGACCGCATGAACTGGAACCTTTCCAAACAGGAGGCTGCAGAAATGCACGCAGTCAATGAGTTAGTTTGGTGGTACTCGCATCCTTATTGTTGCCACTATATTAACACTGCCGTACCTGAACTGAGTGCCACCTCTGCCTCTCTCCGGACATCCCTCCGCCTTGTACTTTTAATTTCCATGTAGAGCATGCGCGCTAAGGATTGAAGGATTGTGGTGTTGCGGATGCAGAGCACTGAAAAAGTACGAGGAGCTCTATGTCTATATTGACCTCTGGCTGATCCTGAAGGTGAACAACTGATTGACAAAAGCAGCGGTAGCAAAAGTATATTTAGTAGGAAGTACGGGACGGAGAGCTAATTGATGGAAGTAACAGTACACGATGGAAAAGTGAATAATCGCTTCAGAGAATCGACATATGATGCATCTCTTGCCTTAAGTTCACATGGGTAGGTTCATCTTTAGCTGTTTTATCTTCTTTGCAGTCACTGTGTTGCTCCTCAGGTTGAAACTCCCAATTGGGTATACAAGTGGCGAAGGCAACAGGAAGAGTAGGCGAGCATCAGTTCTTCGATGGTGAAGTAAATGCTTTAAAACTCTGTCTTGGCTTCAAAGTTGGTAGAGCAGAGGCTGGCATCATACAAGGGAACGTGGGTGGCGAACATGATTTCGTCCGAGTCTCGTTATCATTCTCTTCTCGCTGGTGCAGAGACACAAAGCGGCGGACAGGGTCTGGTTTGGATGCCGATGAGGTCAACAGCTTTGTTGATCGGTGAGCTAATAAAATAGAGCCGAAAGACAGCCTCGATTTCTATGTAGGTATGCAATATATGTAATTGCGTGTATATGCATACGCACGTATTAATGCGTCTGATTAGGGGCCCCGCAAGAGTGCGTGAAGTGTGATGTGGCCTTCCAACATGGTAACATATGTTCAGTTGCCCTGCATATGTCCTTTTAGGTTCATACCGCTATATCAAGTGTACCTGCCAGGGCTTTACACGACGCCGCCGCTTGCGAGGGAAAACCGAGGTGCACGTTCCTGTCTTCTCGTTGAGCTTACGAAGCACCGTACAGTCAAGTCAGCCACCTTTCTGTAATACTTCGAGCAACTCGGATTGTACTTTGAGATAATGCGCATTTCCATCCTTTCTGCCCCTCAACAACGCCATCCGTTTGTGGCTCCTCTCATGATGCTTTTGCCTCTCCTTGGCGGCTTTTCCTGTTTGCCTGGTGTTCTACAGCTCTATCAGTTTGTTCTTCTGAAATGGGCGCCTTCAGGCGTGTTCCTTAGTGTGTCAGTCTTAGTTTCTTTCTGCTAACGCGGGTGCTTGTTGCTATCTTTGTTCTCGTGCGGCAACATGCTCGTTATTTGTGCATCAAAATTGCCAGCATTGAACGCCAGGCATCGCAAATTCCGGCTGAAGATTATCTTAGTGCACACAAGCAAACTAAGCACTTGATGTACCATATTGTTAAAGATGGAGCTATTACCGCCGCTAGAGGTGAAGGACTTTACTTTTGAATGTGAAGTAAGAAACGCTCTATGCTTGCCAAAGTCTACTGGCTGAAAACACATGCTTGCAACCATTTCAGCACATACTGCGCGAGATCCTAGATCAAAGTCCTGTGGAGCACCAGAAAAAGCATAGTACAAAAGGAACAAATTAGAATGGACTTGAAGCCGTGTACTGCTGATCTTGCAGGGGATAGACCTGACCGAAATGGCATCACAGCTGATTATTTAACCTGCTTGAACACAGGCCAACGGACTGAGCTCCAACCTCATTCTCATGCTACGATATTCGCATAAGCGCACCTCATTGTTGCATACACATCCGAGATACGCTACATGCAAGCAGCAGAAATAGCGGTCAAGGGATGGACTCCTAAACGTCACGGCTTGTGTGGGGCGACACATGCTTTTCCGGACGTTCAAGGCCGCATGTGCAAATACAAATAAATTTATCTATACACACTTTGTCCAACGGCGCGTCGGGATGTATGCTTGCATGTATTCGCATGCGTATAAGGCTAAGTTACACCTGGGCGCTCCCACTACACTACCTTTATTCTATCAGGAATTAGTGAAGAATCAACCATTTGCTTTGATTCTCCGTTATTTCAGAGCAGCAATGACTCGCTACCAGAAGACGTAATGCCGTATGCATGTGGGCTGGATGCCATGTGCTACTAGCTACGAATATTTTGAGTGGCTCGTGGCTCCCAATACGCACACCTTAGCTGCTTCTCTCTCCTCATGCCAGAATCAAGAGGACCGAGTGCACTTAAAGGAAGAAGCTCTTGTGGATAATCAATCAGTAACTTTCCATGAACTTGTGTGTCAAGTGTGGTCCTATGAAGACGTCCGATGAAGCGTTACAGAGAGCACCAAGGAAGTGAGTGACATTCGCACGGATGCGTATGTATGCCTACTCACAGCCCCCTGGAGAAATATCAAAGTACCAATTCAATTCCAGGCTCTGGCCTAGCGCTTAATTTGCATTCATGAAGATACAGATACACCCGGAGGCCCCCACACATGCAGGGAACATGGCGTCTGCACGCGTGCGCATGGATCCTACAGTGGCTTCAAGCACAGGTCAAGCCATGTGAGACGGCATGAGTACGTGCAGCCATGCCTGAATACACAATACAATTTGTTAAACAGTCAACAAACGCGGGTGTGTTGGGCGGTCAGCAACTCAATGGCTGCTCTGCCGCTGTGGTCGCACTCTTCTAACGTGGACGCGTGCCTGCATCCATATTACGGTATGGCTCTTCGTTTTTACTGGGCTTCGCGTTGTATGCAGCTACCATGCATATGATTAGGCCATGTTGGTGTGCGTAGTAAGTGCCTGTGTTCGACATGCACGTGAAGTCTCACGCACACCATCCCGTGACAACTTCTTCTGCTGCCTTTGCAGCCCCCGGGTCGCTGTCGGTGGCTTTTAAAAAGTCTTGCATCGCCTGAGCGCCGCTTCCACTGTTCCTGGGGCTCGAGAGGGAACGTGAAGCAAATTTGCCGTGGCCGAAAGTGATAGCCTGGTCCAAAGTCAGGCCAGCGGGAAGTGCGGTGACACCGCCGTTCCCGGCAGTCGCTTCTCCTCCGTCCGTTGCTGCTGTTGCAGCCAGTGCAGCAGCAACATCCCTTCGTAAGAATCGTGGAACTCCATCAACGTCTTCTTCTGCAGACGAAGAGAAAAGACCCCTGTGGGGGTGCGAAAGCTCCCCAGAAGCAAAGCCGAGGCAAAGGTCGCTCCCGGGGGCCTCCAAGGGGTCTTCTAGGGATGACTCTCTTCCTACGCCACCGCCTACCCAGCCCAGGTCTGTATCTGCTCTTCTTGGACTAATCAAGCTCCCATAAGGAGAAAACTCTCTGACCTCTGCAGGGCCAAACCGTACGCTGCGTGCACAAAGAAGACCTTCCTCAGGGTTGCTCCTTTTAGCCAAGGCTGATCCTGCCGGTAATGAGGCACGAACGGGATCAACATTAATCTCATCCTGTCTAAGTTCCTCTGAAACTGCTCCTAATACTCTCCTCCCAGCTTCAGGGGCGTTGTCACCCTTTCTCTGATGTCGCAGAAGCCGCTGCTTCAGTTCGGCTGCACTACATGCAATCGCCGAAGCCAAGCCATCGCCGTGCTGCTGCTGCTGCTGCGCACTGCTCTGTCCCCCCTTACCCACTACGCGGAGCAGGTGTTTCCAGCGTCTCCCCGATGATCCTGTATGTGCTGAGGGGGGTGCCTTTGAAGGTAGTGACTCTGAGGGACAGGAGGGGCTGGTGCTGCTGCCCTCCGGTCTCAGCTGCGGGCTGCTGCTGACAGAGCTGTTAGCAGCGATGTCCGGTTTCATGGCTACAGCAACTTTACCCTCGAGAACGGAGCATCCCTGGCTCATAATATCCATGGAAGCGCCAGTTCCTTGAAGATGCAGCAGCTGCTTCTACTATTGCTGCTGCTCCTACTCTCTTAGGTGAACTGCTTTGATGCGTGCTAAGTACTGAAAAGGACAACTAGGTACCACTGAAGGGGTAATAACTACAAGAACCGCAGCCCATGCGCCTCGTGGCCTCCGGCTTCTACCGCTGTCGCAAGTGTGGCGTTCAGTCCCACATGAAAAGTAGTAATTAACAAAGATCCACAAGAAAGTTCACAAAGAACAACGATATTCCTTACAGGAATACTTGTATCGCTGTGATCATAGGGTTACTGCGGCTTCTCCGTGCTGACGCTGTTGCAACGCTGCTGGCGGCCAAGGGTTAAAAGCCAGGGGGTGTGCCAATAGCCGCACGCCCCGCTTATTTCTAACATTCGATAACAAGTAGTTCTAACCAGGCGCAAACCTACATGCTGACTGTTGGACCTTTTTTCCTGTCACTGTGGCGGCCTCTGCTGCTGTGTTTGCTAGGGCTGCAAGCGCAGTACGTGAAGTTTGTTGCTGCTCACTTGTTGTGTGTGCACACGGGAATGAGGCCTGTTTGCGCTTTTTGTGAGAAAGCAGCAGAAGGTTTCTTTCTGAGCTTTGAGTCGGCACCGTAGCGACATAACCAGACCATGCCACATGAGCAGCTCCAAATTGGAGGACCGTAGCGTGTTGTACACCGTGGCAGGAACGGTACCAGCACCATAGATATAATTGCAAGTCACAATAATACAGCAAGACCTGAGCCGAGAGACGATGCCGCTTCTGGCACATCCTTCTACTATTGTGTGCCTGTACACCTTGGCAACAGCTACCGTATGCGGAGCAGCTGCATCAACAGGGACACCGCCGCCAGCACCCGTTATCAGCCCCCCGGACCTGCCGCCATGCGAAATCCCCTTAGATCCCAGCTGCCTGCGACAGCAAGCCGCTGCGTTGCAGCAGTGGGGTGTAGAGATACGGCGGCAGCTTCACAGGTTTCCGGAACTAATGTATGAAGAACACCGTACCTCTGCGTTGGTGCAGAGAGTGCTCACAGTAAGGTTTCTTCCAAAGTACATCCCGAGTAGCAGAAGCGGCCTTTTAGTTGGTCACTGAAGCAGCAACGCGGCTGCTGATCCACGCGCTCTTGTTTTTGCGTCTGAGGCGGTGCTTTTGCTGCAGGATCTGGGCATAAAGCACTCAGCGGGCTGGGGCCGAGACCGCCGCGCTTCTCTGGTGGACGAGTCGCTCTTGGAGGCATCAACTGAGAAAGGAGATACAGAAGAGTTGCATCAAATGCAGCAGCAGGCAGCAGGCATCCCGGGCACAGGGGTGGTTGCGGAGATTGGAACTGGCAAGAGCCCATGTGTTTTGCTGCGAGCAGACATGGACGCGCTTCCTATCCATGAACAGGTACTGCTACGTATGCTGCTGCTCCTGAATATACAGTATGTATATGTATGCTTTTAGTAGTACTGCAGAGTGCTTTGCTGAGCCTGGGATACTGCCATATGACTGCCGGTGGCCGGTGTATTTTCACACCTTCGACAGCTGCTATTGGTGCTTCAGGCCGCTGTTGCTTTCAAGTCCGAATTAGATGGGAAGATGCATGCATGCGGCCACGATGCACATACAACGATGCTCCTAATGGCCGCTGCCATCCTGAAAAAGAACGAAGCTTCTCTCAAGGTCTGCCGCCGATGTTGCGGCTGCTTTCCTTGTTCATATCTGGATAGAACCACGCACGCACGCTCTTACACATACAAAGATACACACATGCACTCCTTGTAGCGGCCTTGATGCCTGTCCACCCCAGTCACCAGGTGAAGCCTGTGGAGTTGTGTGCTTCCGTGTAGGGGACAGTGAAGCTGGTGTTTCAGCCTGCAGAAGAGGGCGGACAAGGGGCGCAAATGATGCTGGAAGAGGGCCTTTTGGATATGCTACCGTCACCTCTCATGGCCATGGGCATGCATGTCTTCCCGGAGCTCCCGACTGGCGTAATTGCATCCAGAGAAGGACCCCTTATGGCTGCGACTGCGAGGTGCAGGATATTTGGGTTCCGACGTATCGGACACTGTGTTGCTGATTTAGGGGCGTCTCTGTCCACTTTCTTCTGATCTTTTGCTGCTTTTTGGCTGTGCGTCGGAGCCAGTCATTGTGACCGCTTTAAGGTGCTGGTGCCCATGTTGTATGCCTGCCTCGCTGCGTGAACTAGTTGCTGCTGTCCACTGCTTCTCTCCTGCCCCCACTGCATGCGCCTGCATTCGGTTTGGCATGTTTGACCTGCGACCTTGACCTTGGAGTTTCCGGGGGTCAGGTGCGTGCGCCTCTGCAGTTTCCACTTTGAAATCGTTGGGAGCGGTGGCCACGGCGCAATGCCTGCTCAGACGCGAGACCCCATTGCTGCATGCACTGCAGCTGTGCAGAACGTGTATGCTATAGTCGCGAGAGAAAACGACTTCGCCGCTGTGTCTTCGGGCTTCATCTCTGTCACACAAATTCAGGTTCGAGGCTATCTTTTCCTCCTTACCTTGCCGTGTTTATCAGCCTGCCTGCGCCTGTCGCCTCTTATCTAGTCCCTCCGTACCTTCCTCTCTCCGTTGAATGTGCATTCGAGACCCCGTGGGCGAGGCAGCTGGGCCGGGCAGCAGGCAGGCAGAGGCTGCCCTTCGCCGTCGAGAGGGGGCCTAAGGCGTCAAGGCAACTGCGATTGCATCACTTGGCTTTGAGGCTTCTCCCCTATTGCTGTGTTCTTATGCCGAGCTCAGGCCGGCAGTGCCTTCAATATCATCCCATCGGAGTGCAGCCTCAAAGGCACCCTTAGGGCCTTTACCAACGAGAAGCTACAGGAATTGAAGCTGCGTTTGCGGCAGGTCGTGCAGCGTACGGCCGAGGCCTTCCGCTGCCGCCTGAGAGTTCGCCGCCTTCTCACCAACACCCCAGCGCTTCATGTGCACGCTGGCGCACTCGGGGTCCTTAACAAAGTCTGTCTGTACAATGGGGGGAGGGGTGTCTGATCTGTTCAAGATGGTGTAGCCAATGGGGAAGTACATATTCTGATGCCCGCGTTATCCAAGCTGGTGACGCTTTTCCGATGCATGCTAGCTGCTGCTGCGCCCCACCGTCACGGGAGAAGTGTTTCTGCCGGGGTTTTATTCCAGTGTCGCTGTTTGTGTGGGATCGAGCTCCGTATGCTACACTGCGCTCTGCTGTGTTGTGACATCAAACAGGCAGTCGGTGCTGTCACTGGAGGTCGCCCGGTAGAGACGATGCCCCCGATCTATGGTGGCGAGGACTTTGCATTTGTTTTGGATCGGGTACCTGGGGTGTTCGCATTCATCGGTATTGGGTGAGTTTACTTTTTGCGCTGGTTGCTCGCTGACCCCTGTGCGCCTTATCCGTAGCGTGGCTATGTGGGATCTTATGCTGCAGGAAGAGCCTCCTCCGTACGTGGCGCTTTGCACTTGCCTACTGCTCCCTCGAATGCTATTGTGCTGCATGGGGATCTCGTGCTTGTTGGCTGCTGTGTCTCACCATGTTCTTCGTATGCCGTATTACCTGCGCTTCGTGAACTGACTCTGCCTCCGTGTGTCATGTAGCGTTTATCTGTACGCTCGACCGCTCTTTTCCTGTTTCCCTTCTGAATTGCGTCTCACGCGCATTGCAAGTATCCCTGAGAGCTCAAAATAGAGGGATGCCGCGCAACTTTGGGGTGTAAGGGTTCTCAAGAGTTCGGAATTACAGAGGTTCACAAACATGACCCCCGCATGGTCCGATGTGAGCCCGAGGTGCGCCACTGTGTGCTTCATAGGAGCGGAGCGCAACGGAAGGGCCATGTGCCAACTTCCTTTGGGCTGCACCACCAGGAGTTTGCCATCGATGAGGAAGCACTGGAGGTCGGAGCAGCTGTTGAGGCTCAATTCGCAGCAACAGCCATTGAGCACTTGTTGCAACAGCCAAGCCAGCAGCAGCAAGAAGAACCCCAGGATAAACTTTATGATGACCTATAAGTTTACCGAGACGCCAGCGGTTTCATCGCTTGATGTATTCACTCTGCTTAATGCGTAAGAGCAGCACGCTCAGGTTCTAAAGGCGTTTGGCCCCACTCACTTCATACTGGGAGCGCGGGTTAAAGTCTCAAAAGCAAAGAAATTTGCCTCTGGGAGGGCCAGCTACAAACTAATGTTCGAATTCGTTGCTGTAAAGACTTTGTATACAGTGCTTCTTCGCACAAATAGGAGTGAATAATGTGCGTCTCTGGGAAAGTGCAACTTTGATGTTAATGCTCCCAATCAGGTACAATCGTCTCCCAGTTCATGCGTGGTCAGGAAGGCCTTCGGCGCCTATTTCCACTTTTGTTGTGTGGGTTCTGTGAGTATTTCAAGTGGTTCTTTGTTTTTCTGCGCATTCAAAGAGATATAGGGACGAGAGCCGGAAACATTTTACACATTATTTTGTCACCTGTATTTATGCTCATGTCCTGCTTCTACGGGCAGCTGTTATCTGGTGTGTCTAGCCGTAAGGCGAAGAGTTTTGGCACTTGCGAACCACCAGCGTAATATGGTACTCTGTTGGGCAGCACAATGGTTGAAGTCCTGTATTTCCACCGAGGAAGACTCTGCTTCGGCACGCACGCAGCTTTTCCCCGTCAAGTTTCTCAGGGGAAAGATGCGCGAACTACATGCGGAATCGCCTTCCTGAGTCGGTAGTGCCGTGTTGTCATGATTTGTAAACGGATGAACAAGTAGTCGACGTTTACTCGACCAAGCGAGTTAACTTGCTATCATGAAGTCTCCAGGTGCACATAGTATCAATGCAAAACGTTGTAGATGAGCAAAGACGGGATGAGACCTACGTGGCAGTGTGAAAAATGTGACACTGCTTTCAAGGTCTTCGTACGGAGGCACTAGCTTCAGACCCATACCACCATAATGCAAAGTAACACATTGCGCTTCAGCACTTTCTAGTGCACTCGTTATAGTCTAAAAAACTGTAAAGGGTTGGCTAGCTGGTTTGTCCATTAGCACATCTTATTGTTGCAGAGTAATATCCGCTCGATACCAGAAGACGCAGCATTGTGTGCATGTGCTTCAGATGCCGTGTGCAGCTGGATGCGAATTCTTCCGATGCTTATAACGTGTAGCTACGCGCGTACGACCTCTCATTCTGCGGCAATGTCTGAAACTTTGAGGCGCGCGCAAGGGAAGAAAACAGATCTCTTAAAAACCACTGGCTTGCTTCGAAGCAAGTTTGTGTTGGGTCTGGAGTTGAGTGCATCCCCACAGAGATTGGAGATGGAGCCTTTCAATCCAGCTGAGTGTTCCTCCAGAAGAGCTCCCCCTGTGCACCTCTTCAAAGTGCTCCGGTATGATGGAGAGGGATAGCTGCAGTGTGCGTGGCTACATCTTCTATGCACTCTGAGTGTTCGCAGTCAGTTGCACATTGCATCTACTGCACGTGCACAGTGCTGCATCTTCTTGTATCGAACTAACTCTACTCTGCAGCACTAAGATATGCAAATGGCCAGATGAAGGAGTTCGCTTTAAAAAATTTAAATATGACAAGTGCAGTAGGAACTGCATTAGTGTATCTTAATGTTGCTACAGCCACATGTCGTAATCTCAAGGGTAAATGCACCATTTACATGCAGGGAACTCTGCTCAACTGCAATTAGGCTAGACAAAAATGCAGAGTAACTGCTTGACTGAATCTTTTAATCTTACTAGATGCTTATAAAAAAGCTGCTTTGAGCTGCTAGGTCCGCCGAAACGACGGTGTGAAAGACTGCGGTGCAGGAAGGAGAGGGTGATGCAGCGAGGCATGAATGGCAGTAAAGCAAAAACACTTCTGTGTGCCCTAAATACGTCGTTCAGGCGGCGAACATGGGATGGGATGGAAAGACTGCAGACTGGCACCTGCGCATCACTTCGTAGCGACAACTGGCGGCAAACCGTCCTTGCTCGGCAACTTAACGCACTTCAGTTTCCACAATTTTGCTGCATCATTCGTCTATTTTTGTGAAAGCATTGCTACCGAACGAAGCAGGAAATATCATAAATGCCATGTATCTCTGATCCGGGGCGGGAGCAGCTCGTGACGCGAGAAGCTAGTCGCGGCTGCCCAACGTCCCCACACTGTGTGCAGCGAGAGGCGGGGAAAAAAGGAAGAGGCACTAAGCAATTTTAGAACCTTAAAGATAACGGAGGTCCCAAGTAAGAATATAAATGTCCTTTCTATTTAGGGGAGAAAAAAATGAAGATGCGTCAAGGCATTTTGTTAGAGCCTCTTGCGTGTCCTGAAAAGCAAGGGAGTGGCAGCAGGGGCGGCAGAACACGGCAGATCCTGCAGCGCCCCTCCGGGTGCAGCACCAAGATCGTGATCGATGCTTGCAGCAGGGGTTCAGATCCGTTTTTCTTCACCCCATTTCAAACTGTAGCATTGTTTATTGGAGCTGCTTTTAAGCCAAAGAAGCGTTAATATCCTTTTCTTGTGTTCTTCGAAAACCAGCTGTATCGCAGACGTCCGTGTGGCCGATTGTACAGAAAATGAGGACCCTCTCCGTCGTTTTGCCGCTTTGCTTCGCGTGTTTGTATGGTGGGGTAGCTTCTCAGGCTGTGCCTGGGGATATGACGGCTCCTGGCGCAGCACCGGAAATGCTTTTGGAGGCTCTCGCAGATGGAGAGCAGCTGCTTCAAGACGTCGAAAATGCGTACATTGACAACCGATTGGAAGCACGACGTGGCAAACGGCAGAAGTTGATTGCTGGAGTCGTTGGATTCGCACTCCTTCTTGCTGCTGTGGCTGCTGCACTTACCTATTCTGGAATCTTCCGGAAACCGCCGCCAGCGCCCGATTCCCCTGACGCCGCACCAGCACCTGCACCAGCACCTGCACCTGCACCTGTACCTGCTGCTGAATCCACAGAAGAAACCGAGGTGGACCATCCCACCAACGATGATTCTGGAAATGGAGAGGAGAGTGATCGTCTTTGATTATTTCACCCCCAAGAGAAGGCATATAAGTGTAAGTATACTTCTATGTGCGAAAAATGCGATGTAGCACCCCGTTGTCTGTGGTGGGCTTGGAGTTTTTTTGAATGGTATTTCTGCGGAGTGTGACTGCACTGAATTCGTAGCTGAGCTTTGTTGGCTGCAGTGTCGCTATGAAGGTTGTTACCATGGCACATCTTCCTGTGTGTCACGAGTCTTTTTTAGGCACCGTGGCCTATACTTGTTGAGCCAACTGGCAGCGCCGCAGTTCATTATAGAGTGACTAAGCGTCTCAAGTATTCTGGGTTGACGCACACGCCTTTGCAAGGGAATGCATTTGGGATGCAGCTTACTTTTACCGAGGCCCTTGAATGTTCTTTGAAATGCGTGGTTCGTGTTTTTTTGTCGAGAGTCGCTTTTCTGTGGGCCTATTTGCACACGCCGGAATCTACCATGGGTGATTCCGAGCCTTTCTGCTGGCCTGTGTCACAAGGAATAGGGTCTCAACGGTTTGCGGGCGACCTCTCAGTTTGCAGTGACAGCTTGTCTATAGTTTTGATGAAGACTCCGGTGTATATTAAGCAAATGCGGAGTGTGTTTGGGTAACCCTGTGTACCACGGTGCTGCATTGTGCATAAGTGAGGGGAAATTGTTTGCAGCCGCTTCTATAACAGTCAGTGAGTCCCGGGTGTCGTTCTTGGAACCTTAGTTCAGCTTCTCCGTGGTTATGCAAAGTGTAGCAGACGTGCTTGCCCGAACCCTGCTGAAAGTTGGCATTGCCTTCGCACGGATCTTTGCCTCTTCGCGTGTCTTGTAGTACATAAATCAAACATCGATAGCATGCTGGGTCTGCTTAGGAAAGGCCGCATGCCTAATGCGATTTTTCCTAGATGGGCGAGCTGAGCAACTACAGGTTTCCAATATGTGCTGTTTCCCGGTGCTTTGCTGGCTCTCCGAAGTGTTTGCCCGAACAACTAGGAGTTGTTCTCCGTCTGATCGACAGTGTTTCGAGTAGTCGCACAGAAAACGCGCATTTGACCAGCTTGCAAGGGCAACTCTTGCATCCAGGTCGAGCCTAGGAAATTCTGAACTCTTTAGGTTGATGCCGTCTTGATGGGCATGGTAGCATGGGTTCCGGGTAGGCGGTGTGTAGGCTCTAATGCGTCGCTGTAGCTAGGCTTCGCTAGCAGTTCTCCTTTGGTCATTCCTTTTAACAGCAAAATCTGTCGTCTCGCAAGTAGTATGGATATGGGCCTGAATTGGTGGCGCTGGGCTCGTCAAAGCAGGTTTCATCGCATGAGTGGTTGTAACGCGTTTAGAGAAAGGACGGCACCCCGTTTAGCGGGCATGTGCAACCCTTCTATTAAGGCATCCCCCACAGGGGCACCTAGCTCGAGAGTCATTATAAGTGGCACGTTGCTGAGCTTTTTCCAGGAAGGCTCATGGCCGCATGCTCTAGGGTGTCGGTGAGGAGCAGTCGATAGCTGTAGTGCAATTGAAGTGGCCAATGGCCTCAACTGTAACACTTCACCTAAGCCTTGGTAGAAGTACTGTCAACTCGAGCCTCAATACGTCCTTCGTAGGTGCCTGTGTTTTTGCCAAGGAGCTTTCTCCTGACACTTATTGCTCCGGGGATGGGCCATTTTTCGCGTAGCTACATTCATTAAGACGTTCAAGACGTGTGTAACATACTATGGGTAACTTGCGCACACATGCTCAACAGTGCGCGTAGCTTCCAGCTGGTGTTACCCTGCACCTTGTGTCAACAGAACGGCCAAGCAGTCAAGTATTTCCTTGTTCGTAATTAAACGTAACTGGTACTCGAGAAGCGGTTGATTGTAGCTTATCGTTTAGATGGTTGCACGTAACAGTCCTCCGCTGTGATTTGTACAGGTAGGTATACTAGTTGTTCTGTACTAATTTCAGCCAAAATTAGCCTGTTGTAAAAAGTGTTCACGTGTAGCCTTCCGGATACTTGGACGCTCGGAGTGCTCAGAGGGTGCAGTCACGCGTAGCCTAGC